TGTGGTACATCAGCAGAGGTTCTTTGTGTATCAAGTGTCAATCAACAGCATTGCAAGCAACAAACGGTTATTTCATTTCATTTGCCAAGATATCTACACTTATGCACCTCCACAATCAGCAATACATACACATTCACTTAGTTTCACACACTCTAAAGCGTTGCTGTTCTTGTATAGAACATGTAACGAAGATGCTCTCTGAGGAGTGAAATGAGGCACTGAATAATCACGCCATGGTGCTTTTCACTCTTTCGAATATCTGTCTGACTTTTACGGCAGGTACACAGCCTTCTCTCACAATGGTGATGGTCCCTGTGGAAACAGTGGAATAAGCTTCAGTTAGAAAGTGCCAGCGAAAACACAAAAAAGAAAGAATGTACTAGGAATGTATCTGACCTTCATCAATCTTCAGGCAGTTGACCACGGTGGAAGCAACAACTTCATTAGAGTCTCCATCACACAGAACCCCTTGAATCTTGTGCCCCAGTCGACTGTTTGGAAAAACAGATGTGTGACTCAATGTGCATGTAGTTTATTTGCAAAATGCCACACATTTGTCACAGCTACACTGAGATTAATCTGCAGTAAAGATGAAAGGTTAGTTCTGTGAGGAGACACTGACTTGATGACCATGGTGTGGTGAGTGCTGTCTGGCTCTCCGCTGGGGTTCGCCGAAGTAATAGCAAGGGGCCCCGTGATGTCACACAGGTGGCACGTCACAGTGTGGTCAGGGACACGGATCATGATGCTGTCCCTCGTGCCAACACGATCATAAGCTGGTCCCACTCCTACTCAAAATGAGTTGAAAAGGTAAGGGGAAATGGCGGTGATTTGAACGTAAAGTTGGTTGAAACTATTATTCATACAGCCATAAAACAGAAAAGCTTTACCTAGTCTGAGTAGCCAGTCTCCTTTGCTGACAATGCAGCTGATGCCTCCTGGATAAACATTTCTCATAAACTCCCACAGCAAAGGGCTAAAGGGAGGCTTGGCTGTCACCAGCTGCTCCACATTAGCGATGCAAATGCAGATGGGCTTCTCGGCTGGTCGGTCCTGTGTAAGGTCACAGTGCACAGGTTGAGGAATTTTACATCAAAGTCAAAATGTTGAATCAGTGTCATACTTTGTTTCTAAATGACATCAAAATGGCACCTATGTCCCTCTTACCTTAATATTATAGATTTTCTCTATAGCTTGAGGGTTCTTGCAGGAGGCAGCCAGGGCATACACAGTGTCCGTAGGAATACCACACACTCCGCCTGCCTCCAGAATGCCAGCGATTTTCAGGAGACCACTGGTGAGTCGTGAATAGTGAACAGGGCAGGGTAGTTCTGCAGCAGACTCCTCCTTCGCTTCCTCCTGAGTGAGTGACATTTGGGGGTAAATAATAGAATATGATAGCCCAAGAGGAAGGCAAAAGGTTTCTTGATTGGTTACCTTTATTAGGGAAGGGCCCATAGGTAGCACCCTCTGAGAGAAGATGCAGTTCACCAGTGATGCCAGAGCTCCATATATACAAATTGCCGAGAGTAGTGCAAGCATGGCAACTGCAAAGACAATGACAATAACCATATGGATTTTCTAGTTTTCCAGATAATATTCTAATTTCAGCCTATCCGTTTATTTAAAAGTCTAAACCAAAATAGGACTGAGGCTTCAGCTACACATACTTTCTAGCCCAAGTGGCAGTCGCTGCAGAGTGGACAGCAGTAAACACACCAGAACAACCTCCATGACGGTTGTTAGCAACAGCAAGACCAGGTTCCTGTAGGCAGCTGACAGACATGATGGAAGAAAGAAATCAAACATAAAAACAATAATTAATAATAATTCATTAGAACTCTTTTAAACAACAAATCTTGTTGATCTTACCAATCAGCATGAGGAAAGCATTAATGACCAGAAGAGCAATGGCTCCTGCTGTAAAAGCATAAGCCGCATGTCTGGAAAACTGAAGCAGGTTACCTGGAATAGAAACATGTGGGATCAGAATTGTTTGTGATTTATTGACAATAGGTTTCCATTTAATTAACATTAATCATAATTGATATTTACATGTTGGTATTGACATACCTGCAAACCTAAACCAGGTCCAGGTTGCCCATACTGCTACATAGATGGATGCGATGACCGACCCGAACCGACCAGTTCCTGTAACTTGCAGACGGCTGACGTAGGCCTGGATGATGCCTCCAGAAATTAAGACCCAAGGTACAGTCAGATGAAGGAAGGTGGGGTTTGTGCTGGCTGAACTTATAGTGAGCGCTGAGAAGGCTGCAACTCCATTTAAAAGGTAGAATAGAGCGTCTGAGGCCTGGTCCATTCGGGGAAGAGACTCATGGTCTCCCTTTCCGGCCCTGCAGCAGTTCAAAGCCTTCTTCAACTGGTCAGAAGAGATGGGCTGTGGTCCTGCAGGGATCAGAGACTTCTCTGCTATGCTGTTTATAAGACGGGCAAAAGTACCATACAGGGAGACTGCTGTGAACAGGGAGCATGCTATACCAAAGAAGATGTAGTATCCCTTGAGAGGAATCTGAGGGATTGTGGAGACTGTGAGCAGGACAAACAGCATGTTGTGGATGAGCTCCAGGACATCTGTGTTAAGGCCTGCCACACACAGCACCACGCCTGCCATCACAAAGAACCAATCTCCCACCATCATTGCCCTTCCCGAGATTACAATAGTGTCCTCCAAAACCAGAGCAGATACCACAAACTCATCCCAAGCCTTGATCAGCCAATATGTTGCATGAAGACCAAACTTAGTTGTGTGGTAGCAGTCTTGGCGCAGATGGGCATAATAGCTGGAGAACAGCTGGGCAACTGTGATGATTGAGATCCATGCGGCTCCTAAACCAAAGGATTTCATGTACCCAAAGCTGTAGAAAGCAAAGATGAAGGGGGCAACTGTGTCACAGAAGAAACCCAAGGCCATGGGCTCTGCATATTTTGTGTTTTTCTTCTTCTCTTGGCCAACGTTCTGGGCCTTTCCTGAGTTTCCGGTCCCTAGGAGGAGAACATTAAAGAGGGGGGTACCGAAGCCTTTGAGGGCTAGACGTTGAGTCAGGCCTTTGATGAGCAGTGCAGCTGAACCGTAGATGGCGAAAATCAAAATGAGCAACTCCAGAACCCCAGAGACCACGAGAGCCCAGGAACTTGATACCATACCCACTGCTTCAAAAACTAATGTGGCAGTAATGGCTCCGAAAACAAAAGGCATGATGTAGTTTACTGTGGCAGAGCAAAACGCAAGGATAAAGGACAAAAGAATGAAGGGGACCAGACCAGCAATGGCTGATTCTTTTAAGGACATGCATAAATGACAAACTGGAATCTCACTGGTGGCGTTAACAGATATGTTACTGAACATGTTAGTTGACAGCGACAAATTGCTCATCATCTGTTGTGGCATAGACGTTGTTATAGGAGTTACAGTTAAGGCCCCAAAGAAGATTCGGGTGGCACCAAAACTGCTCCAAAGAGCAGCATACCCAATGAAGGCAGTGGCACTCAGATGGTCGTACTTTCTAAAGGAAAGCAATCCGGCCACCATTTGGCATAAACCACCAATGAGGATGAGATGAACACCTATGAAAAAACAAGTAATAGACAATATTAAGACGTTTTCTTACTTTTTATTGTATGAGTACCGCATAGTTTCTAAAGCTTTTACCTGCAAGTATATTCTCCACCCCGACTGGTGCAATACCAGTGTGTGCTGTACTGAAGTTTTGTAGAAGCACGAGGAATGCACTGATCCCATTAGATAACATTCCCAAGACTCCTGGTTCGCCATAGAAACTGGCTGGAAATCCGTCTGGAGTTGTCATCATGTCTCTATTGAAAAGCTGTTCGACTGAAATCATAAAACAAATCCATGAATGTATTAGTATTTCCCATATAACAATAGTAATTAGTGTACTTACCATAATTAGCAAGTATATCTATCATGCAGTATCAAATGCAGAGATCATCCAAACACTAATTAAGAATAATGTCTTATGATTGGTTGATTTATTGATACTATTTATTTTGAATTTAGAATCATCGTCCTTAGTAAAATATTATTATTATATTTACGGTCTGAATATTAAATCTAGCACATTTAATGCCTTCTTTTGTTAGAACATTGTGGAAATTTAAGATGAAAAATAAGGCTTTACTAAATGTATTATAACTTTAAGGAAAATAAATATAATGTAAAGACACATTGTTGAATACTAAAAACTCAAACAGCAAAGTTTGTCTCATCTCCCTATAACATTGACAGAAACCTGACTCTTGATCTGTAAGTTAAATAAGTTAAACACAGTGAGAAAAGCAACACACAGTGGAGTAGCTGCATTCAACTTCCCTGTGCAGATAACTGGAAAGCAGCCTATGTCCGCGTAACTAAGCATTTCATTGATAATTAACAGATTAAAAGATTTTTTGACATCAACCCAAAATACAGGTTATGTTTTTTATTATGTCCGTTATATTACATGTGCATACATAACCCTAACCCTAACTAACAATAAACATTTTGACCATGTGAACAGCATTATAATATCAATGATTATTAGTTTAATTTTTATAACATGGACATGAAATCATTATTTTGTGAAATGATAAATACAGCAAATTAAATGAAGTCTTACCTGGTGAGGACACTCTGGCAGATGAACTCGAGTTGTTCTTACCGGTGAAGGCACTTTGGCATTAAAAGGCTCTCCTTGCCCATAGGAGGAGTTCATCAAAATTCCACAAAACCACCTGTGACCTCCGAGGTGACGTCACTTTCCCTCACCTTAGACAATAGAAACCCTTCTTCCGCCCCTCTTGAAGAATATGTTAATGTAGATGTGTTGATGACATAAAGATTATGACAATGACCATTGTTTAAAATTCCAAATTTGCTTAACAGGTTGTGTGACGGAAAGTCCTGCCTTACTTGTCCCTCCCAGATTAGTTTCGGTAGCCTCCGTGATACTGACTATATATGCTGGTAACTTCTCATTCTGAAAAGCATCAGCATCTTTGCTACAACCAGTTGTCTGCAAACCTGCCGAATCCAACATTTAAAAAAAGGAACAACGACTGACTGAAGCCATGATCTCCACATTACAGGTAATAACAAATGTATAGATATTATATTACGAAAGGGATCTATATAATTGTACATTTTTTTCAGGGTTGAGTAAGTTAAAAGCATTGCCGGTTTTGTTAAAAACGTTTAACATCCAGTACAGGATTTAATACAAAGCTATAAAATCTCTATGTAGCTGGTACTGTTAGGAACATGGTACGGGAGGATTAAACAGGGCTCTTGTTAAACGGGGGATACATCCAGTATCATACCTGGTACAATAACTCTTATAATATTTTGGAATATGCTTCTGAATATTCATTATAGTGTCCACGAAAAGAGGCAGAAAAAAACTTCTAATGAATCTGAGATGTGAAAAAGGGACTTTCTTTTAACAGTGATACAAATATTGTGGTTGTTTTCCTGTAGAAAACCATAAGACCATTTTGGGCTGTCAGAGGACTGCATCGGTCTGCAGTGGAAGGTACAATCAACTTCATCCTCTTTCTGTTTCAATCAGAATTACAAACAACATTTTTAAACCTAGTCATGGTTACTTACGGCTAATCTTATCTTTGGTGACTACATTTCTCACAATTTCCCCCTGCAGACTTGAAGCGCCCTGCCCCGGAGGACACCGTCACAGCCAGCTATGGGAAGTTCATCAGTGAAGTAAAGCCCCAACACTTGTCCCCCGTCGTGCTCCACCGCAGCAAAAGGATGGTGCTGGACAGCATCGGAGTCGGTCTGATCGGGAGCACAACAGACGTGTTTGAGCTGGTGCTGCGGCACTGCCAGGTGAGTCAAAGGGGGAAGAACTAACTTTATGGTCTTTACTCAAGCATGATCCAAGCTGCTTGACCTTAGCACCCAGTTAAATAGACGTGTGGAAGAATGAATTACAAAAGAAAAATATTATCGTCGTTGAACCTTTTCTGTCTTTTATGAGACGGCAATACACATAACTTCAAAAGAAATTACTCAGCTTTTGACTGAAGAGTGATATGAAGTAACATTAATTATATATATATGTATATATAAATGAAAAATATATTCATCATAACTTTAAGGAACATAAATATAATGTAAAGTGCAGATGTATATATATATATGTACATGTAAAAGTATCCTTCTTTTTTCCCTCCAGCACATGTATGCCCCTGATCACATCAGCTCTGTATATGGCCGCGGGGGCACCAGACTCTCCCCGATACTTGCGGCTTTCGTCAATGGAGTGGCTGTGAGTATGAATATGTGGGACGGGTCCGTAAACATTCACAGAGCAAATTAATAAACCAATTAGGTGACAAAAAATACCAGGATGGGTCCAAATGGTCATATTCTCCCTCAATATTATTGAGTATTTGATTGGCCCAATCTGACAAGTGTGTTTATCTCTCTGCTCACTAAAGTCAAACAGTAGGCATTGACATGTGCCATTCATAAATAAAAACTCAAGTATTCACAACTAGCTTCATGAAGCATCGTGATCACGTTTACTATGATAAATAAAATGTGTTTTTTTGATCTGTGCAGACTCACTCCATGGACTTTGATGATACATGGCATCCTGCCACTCATCCCTCGGGAGCGGTCCTTCCTGCTGTGTTAGCTCTCAGTGACATGCTGCCTGCTAACAGTAAACCCAGTGGTCTGGATTTCCTGCTGGCATTCAATGTCGGCCTTGAGATCCAGGGCAGATTGATGAGATTCTCTAATGAGGCCCAGAACATCCCAAAGAGGTAAGCACCTCATGAAGTGAGTCAAAAAGGCTGGTTTACAAGGAGGCCAGTGCAGTGTAATGTGCAGCCCCTTAGTGGTGTCTGTGAGCCGTGAGAGGTATGTAATTATGTTCATCTCAAGGACACCATGAGCACTGTGGCAAGTGTAGCACAATAAGCCATGTTGAGGAGATCATAACTTAAGAGAAAGGTAACAGTATTTTCCTTTTGTCCTTCTCACCACCAGATTTCACCCTCCAACTGTGGTGGGGACCATGGGAAGTGCGGCGGCATGTGCTCGCCTCTTATCTTTGGATGACTCCCAGTGCGGTCATGCCTTGGCTATAGCTGCTTCTCTAGCAGGAGCCCCAATGGCCAATGCAGCCACTCAGTCCAAACCCCTTCACATCGGTAATGCCTCGCGCTTAGGGCTGGAGGCTGCTCTGTTGGCCTCCCAAGGCCTCGAAGCGAGTCCCTTGATCCTTGATGCCGTCGCAGGTGTGGCCGGCTTCAGCGCTTTTTATGAAGACTATGTGCCGCAGCCTATACCATCACCCGACGCTGATGGCCACATGTTTCTGCTAGAGGAGCAGGACATTGGCTTCAAGCGCTTCCCTGCACATCTGGGGATGCATTGGGTGGCAGATGCTGCGGCCTCGGTCCATAATCTTCTTGTGGGCGTTGACCATGGCACTGTTTCTCAAGCTAAAGTCCAAGAAATCCTGCTCAGAGTTCCCAAATCAAAGTACATCAACAGGCCATTCCCTGAGTCTGAGCATGAGGCCCGTCACTCGTTCCAATTCAATGCTTGCACCGCTCTCCTGGACGGGGAAGTGAATGTGCAGTCCTTCTCACCCGCTTCCATGAGACGCCCTGAGCTGCTCGCTCTGCTGAGCCGTGTTCACGTTGAACATCCCAAAGACAACCCAGCTAGTTTCAACAGCATGTATGGCGAAATCCAGGTGACACTGGTTGGGGGTGAGGTTCTGAGAGGACGCTGCGACACCTTCTACGGTCACTGGCGCAACCCGCTGAGCAATGAAAGCCTGAGGAAGAAGTTCAGAAACAACGCAGGGGCTGTGCTCCCCTCAGAGAAGGTGGAGGCGCTGATTGATGCAGTGGAGGAGATGGACAAACGGGAGGACTGCTGCGCCCTTCTCTCACATCTGCACTGAATCCTTACAGACAGCTACACAAATAGATCTTATATATGATGCAAATACTGAAACATCTCTTGGTGATAATGTTTCTTGTAATTAATCAGTTTATGGAGTGATTTATATTGTATATTTGTAAAGTGCAATCTAGTTACATTGCAAAAGACAATGAGAGAATATGTATTGATTAGATGAATTAATAATAATGTATGAATAAATACTGTATCCTATACTGTAGCTTTGGTGTTAAACGATTATAAAATATAAATAATCATGGTAATGCTCGATGGGTGGACTTGTAAATTCATGTAACTAAATACAAAAACAAATAAATATAAACAAAGAAAAAAAGATCCCTTTGAAATGTTAAGTTTGTTTTAAAATTGTACCAACACAAAAGAACTGTGTGGGTAATTAAATTGAAAGAAAATGAATGTGTGAGAAAATGTTTAATTCTAGCACAAGCGTCAGCTGTATGAGGAAATACAACAAACTGTACTTTTTTCTATATTCTAGTTAGTAATAAATACTTAATCACAAAGCAAGCTCAAGATACTTTTGATTTCTCACATGGGCTAAATCCACAAATTTCCACCACAAAAAGTAAAGCAAATGACCCCTTATTAGGTAAACCCCAGCCAGTTAATCATTCAAAACCAAGTGATTGTCCGCGGTAGTTATTGTGTTTTTCACTTGAATGAAACCCTCCGGACATTTGCAATAAAAGTAATAAAAGTCTACATGTATCTACTGTGCACACAAAAGTGCCATGAAGGCGCTTTTTTATTTTCAAATGTGCGCATGTGTGCCTTAAAAAACATGGCTCTGTTTTTTTTTAATTTTGAGCACTGCTGGGAAAAAATAACTGTTTCCTCTTCGTGTTCTATTGGCCTGAAGTTAATGTGTGGCCAAAATTCTGCACGGAGGAATTGGACTTGGAGACGCGCAACCTCTGTTTCATGCACCTGCTCAGATCATGTACAGCCAGGGAGACAGGACAAGTAGCCCTGTTTAGGCGTGCATTTGTATGTGTGAGCATAGCTGAATATACAAAGAAATTATTTTAATAAGGGTTAACAGACTACTCAAGAAAAGGCCATCTTAAAGTACAGTATTGGTGTTTCCAACAAAGAAAATAGAAGAACATTCCTACAAGTTCAACATGTAGCAGGAGAACATGCGCAGTTTGACAATAAATGGTAATAAATAAAGTAATTGAAGAATCAGTCTAATCCAGATCTTTGAACCAGTCGCAGTCCATCGACGAATAAGCACTAACAAATAAAGATGAGAGCACCCGCGGTTAGACTGACGCATTTTTTTGACAGGGCCCTGAGAGCTTTGTGGAGTCTTAAGTACAACAACTATGTTGCCAGGGAACGGGGAAAGGTATGTTTATTTTGGGATAACCCTCCTCGATCTGCATCCCACAAACCTGCACAGAAGAGAGTAACCATCTTGCAAGTTCATGATTGACGTTAGCAATTCAATTCAAGACCCTCTGTGGGAGACAGGTGCACAACCTTCAGATGTGCAGCTACGGTAGCCAGGGGGGTGCTGGTGATGAGGCACAGAACTGCAGAGCCTGGAGTTGGATGTTTGGCTTTGGGCTCAAACTCCTGACCCAGCTGGTGAAGGTTGAACTTCTGCTGCCCAAATGCCAGAGCCTCGCGGGTTCCCTTGAGAACAGTGTTAATTTTGGCAGCTATTTTTGATTTAGTCTTAGTCTTTAGACGAAAAATGCATATTAGTTTTAGTCACATTTAGTCATTTTAATCCTTCTTAGTTTTAGTCTAGTTTTCCTCGACGAAAACTAGACTAAAATGTTACTAGTCTTAGTCTAGTTTTAGTCACATTTAACAGCCATATTAAACTCCTTTTCTTCCCTTCTCAGGCACAGGGACCCCTGCGTTGTGTCTACAACTGCAAAATTATTACTCAATAAAATAGCCAATAAAATACAAAGAAGAAACAATTGCATAATAGTCTAGCTTGCATTACTTGGTTGTCCGTTAGATGTCCCTCCTAGGACCGGTCTAAAGCAGGGGTCGGCAAACTTTTTGACTCGCGGGCCACAATGGGTTGTAAAATGTGACGGAGAAGCCGGGCCAAGAACAAATGTTTGAAGTGTTTGTGTGAGCTAATAGAACAATCGCTGCAATACATTATTTTCTTGGCTGCATCATAAACCAGCCATTCTAAACTGGACCCCCACTTTTCATTCAACAGTCTTTTCTTTTTCTTTGTCTTTGGTTTATGTTTTGGTTTCATGACCAGTTCTTCTCTCTTGTGTCCTGCGGGTTTTCCTCCACCTGCTCTGTGCCGCCACGTCCTCCACCTGCACTGCGCACTTCTATCAAAAGGATCCACCTGTCACGTGTGTGCGCGCCTCTATGTTGCTTAGTAACGAACGTACGGTGGCCGAGACGGTTTAACACCGTCTTCTCACGATATGGCGCGTGAACTATAGTTGAAATGCGTGAGGCTTCAGAACCTGCAATGAGTTTATTATGTTAGACGCGTTTGTGACGGAGCGTCTCATCCACCGAGGAAACGCTGCCTGCCGTCGCCAGAGAACAGAGCAGAAAGGTCCGACAGTCTGTTAAACGGGTCTTCATGTTTCTGCGAAGCAGCGCGGCTTCAGCCTGCTAACAGGCAGCTAAACCGAGACCGCTGAGCTAAACTCAGCAGTGCTCAACATTAAAAAAAAAGAGAGGCGTGTTTTTGAAGTGCACACATTTGAAAATAAAAAAGCGCCTTTATGGGACTTTTGTGTGCACAGTAGATACATGTAGACTTTTATTACTTACTTTTATTGCAAATCTCCGGCGGGTTTCATTCAAGTGAAAGACACAAGAACAAGCGCGGACATCCACTTGGTTTTGAATGATTAACTTGCTGGGGTTTACCTAGTAAGGGGTCATTTGCTTTACTTTGCACGTTGTATTTCCTCATACAGATGTTTGTGTTGAAATTAGAGTTTGGTGAGCACATTTCTCTCATTTATTTTCCTTCAATTTAATTACCCACACAGTTTATTTTTGTTGGTACTTTTATTAAAACAATGCTATATCTGTGCAGTGGAACTTCACATTTCAAAGGGATGCTTTTGTTGTATCTACTGGTTTTTGTATTTAGTTACATGAATTTACAAGTCCACGCATCAAGCATTACCATGATTATTTATATTTCATAATCGTTTAACACCAAAGATAGTATAAGATGCAGTATTTATTCATGGATTATTATTGTGGTGGAAGTTAGTGGATTAAGCTCTTGTGAGAAGTATGCATCCTATTTATGCACAAAGCACCTTGAAAGTGACGACCTCCATGCCAAGGACAGAGGAATAGAAGTTGATGGTGTCTGGTACACTTTTCACTGTAAGAACCAAATGATTGAGACGGCTCACTTGAATTGGACACGTTTGTTTTAATCTCACTCCAAGTGTTTGGATGGAGACAGTCTGCTAGAAATAAGACAAATACGTTTGAGTGATAATAACAAAGACAAAATAACATATACCCAGATCAACAGTATGTGTGAGCATAGCTGAATATACAAAGAAATTATTTTAATAAGGGTTAACAGACTACTCAAGAAAAGGTCATCTTAAAGTACAGTATTGGTGTTTCCAACAAAGAAAATAGAAGAACATTCCTACAAGTTCAACATGTAGCAGGAGAACACGCGCAGTTTGACAATAAATGGTAATAAATAAAGTAATTGAAGAATCAGTCTAATCCAGATCTTTAAACCAGTCGCAATCCATCGACGAATAAGCACTAATAAATAAAGATGAGAGCACCTGCGGTTAGACTGACGCATTTTTTTGACAGGGCCCTAAGAGCTTTGTTAAGTCTTAAGTACAACAACTATGTTGCCAGGGAACGGGGAAAGGTATGTTTATTTTGGGATAATATTGACCTTAGGACACTTAAGAAGTTTCCTGTGATGTTGACTGGTCATAGTTTTACATTTCAATGAGGTTGTGATCTGGATCTATAAAGTGAAGAGAGGTGATGCTCCGGTCTTTTCCACTGGGCCCTCCTCGATCTGCACCCCACAAACGTGCACAGAAGAGAGTATCCATCTTACAAGTTCATGATTGACGTTAGCAATTCAATTCAAGACCCTCTGTGGGAGACAGGTGCACAACCTTCAGATGTGCAGCTACGGTAGCCAGGGGGGTGCTGGTGATGAGGCACAGATCTGCAGAACCTGGAGTTGGATGCCTTACTTTGGGCTCAAATTTCTGCTGCCCAAATGCCAGAGCCTCGCGGGTTCCCCTGAGAATGAGGAGACAACATTTGAGAATGTTGAAAAGTGTCTGAAAGTTTCAAGTCGCTCGCAGAGAGGAGACAGATGCAATCAACCGGCATGCAATCCAATCCTGATATCTAGGGGATGTCAGGCTTAGATTTTTTGGACTTTTGTGTGCACAGTAGATCCTTATAGACTCTTATTACTCAATAAAATAGCCAATAAAACACAGAAGGAAGAAGGAACAGTTATTTTTTCCCAGCAGTGCTCAACATAAAAAAAAAGAGGAGTGTTCTTTGAAGTACGCACATTTTAAAATAAAAAAGCGCCTTTATGGGACTTTTGTGTGTACAGTAGATACATGTAGAATTTTATTACTTACTTTTATTGCAAATCTCCGGCGGGTTTCATTCAAGTGAAAGACACAAGAACAAGCGCGGACATCCACTTGGTTTTGAATGATTAACTTGCTGGGGTTTACCTAGTAAGGGGTAATTTGCTTTACTTTGCAAACACACTATTACTTTCACTATTATATTTTACCACTCATTAGTCACACATTTTACCAACAGGATTTCTTTCTATTGGCAAATACATCTATTGGAAACAATTTATTGGCGTTTGTTGTATTTCCACATACTGATGCTTGTGTTGAAATTAAAGTTTGGTGAGCACAGTTCTCTCATTTATTTTCCTTCAACCCACACAGTTTATTTTTGTTGGTACTTTTATTAAAACAATGCTATATCTGTGCAGTGGAACTTCACATTTCAAAGGGATACTTTTGTTGTATCTAGTGGTTTTTGTATTCAGTTATTTCGTCTTTAGTCAAAGATAGTAAAATATACAGTATTTTTCATAGATTATTATTGTGGTGGAAGTTAGTGGATTAAGCTCTTGTGAGAAGTATGCATCCTATTTATGCACAAAGCACCTTGAAAGTGACGACCTCCATGCCAAGGACCGAGGAATAGAAGTTGATGGTGTCTGGTACACTTTTCACTGTAAAAACCAAATGATTGAGACGGCTCACTTGAATTGGACACCTTTGCTTTGATCTCACTCCAAGTGTTTGGATCGAGACAGTCTGCAAGAAATAAGACAAATACGTTTGAGTTATAATAACAAAGGCAAAATAATATATACCCAGATCAACAGCGCCGCTGCGTGGTCATACATGTGTACAGCATCCTGTGAGCAACCGAACTGAGGAATTCCAGCACCCATTAGCAAACCGTAGGCTAGCAACGAGCTAGCTTACAGCTTCAGCCCTCTATTGATGTGTCGTTTGTGAACGATCCGTTCATTTTGAACGAATCCTTACAAGGACTCGAGAGTAACGAGTCCTCTCAAAAAAAGATTCGTTCATTTTCTCGTGGCCACGCATTGGGACTTGCATAGGCTCAGCCAAGGAAACAGAAATGATTCGTTGAATGCAGGTCACGTGGAAAATGATCCTTCTGCCAACCAAGTGATACCAGTGCTGAGCCTATGCAGGTCACGTGAAAAATTAACGATGAACGAATCATTGATCTACTCGCTACCAGTGCTGAGCCTTTGCAGGTCACGTGAAAAATGAACGATGAACGATGAACGAATCATTGACCCGAAGGCTCGGTTGGCAGATGACCGAAACATTGACCCGAAGAACACGGTCGGGAGGTGAACGATTCGTTTATCTGCCGGATACAGATCTTTAGATCATTTTTCACGTGACCTGCATAGGCTCATCACTGATCCACGCTAGCATTGGGCTAACGTCCCCATCCATCCACGCTAGCATCAGGCTAATGATCCCATCCATCCACGCTAGCATCAGGCTAATGATCCCATCCACCCACGCTAGCATCAGGCTAATGATCCCATCCATCCACGCTAGCATCAGGCTAACGTCCCCGTCCATCCACGCTTCACTATCAGGCGAACCCTTACATACAACACTGTAACGTGTGGGTCTGTGGGGGTCCCGAAATAATGAGGATGCGGCTGAGGGTTTTCGTGTCTTTATTGTCTTAAACAGTCTTTATTTTATCCGTTTTACAAGCACGACTGGCTCCAGCCTCCTCGGTTCGTTCCCCGAACCACTCCCTTCTCCGTCCCCTCTGCAGCCGAGCCAAACCACGCCCGCCACCACAAACAGATAATGACAACCTCTCTACCAGACTGTGGACTTCACCGCTTTATAACAAAGCTTTTTTGCAACGTAAATGGATCAGTACCGCCGCTGCCCATTTTCAACACAGGGGACCGGCTATGCCCCAGAGAGGTCAGTGTTGTGTGGACGGGACGGGGCTATATCCTGGCCATCACACTACATAATGGGCGTTTCGTGTTGACAACAACCCATCCCGGAAAGTCCACTGAGTGCACGAACCCAAAGGTTCCGACATGCGAGCACCGCATGGAGGCCGGCTTTGGACCGGGGCAGCGGTGATTTTATCCCAGTTTGCATGTTTATTGGCGGACCTTTTATTGCAAGGTTCTGGCCGTCACTGGTAACCAGAGCGAGCTCATCGTCAGTGAGATCAACGTGACCCAGGTCCGGCGGTACGAGCGGAGTACTCACTTGTCTCGACGGCCGGCTACAGGCTGAACTTCACGTGACCTGCATAGGCTCAGCATTGGTAGTGATAAGCAGTCAGCATTCTTTCTCTGCGCTAGCAGGTTGCCATCGCCATCTGAGCCGTCGCGTTTTCAAACGAAAATACCATCCAACCGTATTGGTTTAAAGGCGATTTTTTGAGCTCAATTCCATCGTATATCTTCTTGTTTTCTTCTTTGGACGACCATCCAGCTTTTACACTGACGTTCTTTTTGTAAAAGGTGAGCTGTCTCGATGGGTTTCTAGCCCGGCTAGCATTTAGTTAACTTAGCTAAGCCACCGGTTTGGTAGGAAGTTCGTCTTCGTTACGATTTTATATTGGATTCCAAGCGGTGTACTACCAACGTGAATTACCACGTTCGGTTCTAACGGACCTCGTTTGGGTTATGATGTATAGATTTACCGGTTTTACCATTAGAAACCTTAGAAAACCTCTATTGTTATGAACGATGAACTAGCGTACTAGCGAGTAGATCAATGATTCGTTCATCGTTCATTTTTCACGTGATCTGCATAGGAAAACAGAAATGATTTTGACTGGGTCTTCGGATACGGATCTTAGGATCATTTTTCACGTGACCTGCGCACAGAAGAGGAAACAGAAAGGAATTGTTTACCTCGTTCACTTTCGCGTGGCTAGGTTTAGTAAGACGTGAATGATATTCCTTCACAAATAATAATTACAGGTTTCGTTATATTAACATTTTTGTACTTTACTTAGAGTTCAGCGTAATAGTTATGCCGTGATAATTGAATGCTAGTGTGAAAATAAATGATTACTTCAAATCATCCAGACTGTCATGATACATTATTTTAATGCAGGAATTTCATTATTTTAATGCAGGAATTTATCTTACCCCCCCCCCGAAATGAATGAATGACTCAAAAAAAGATTTGTTCATTTTACTGAACGAGATTCAAAGAACCGAGTCGATAAAATGATCCGAACTTCCCATCACTACAGCCCTCACATGTAAAAGTAAACCTTTAACGTTGTGACTGTAACGTCACTTGAGCCTGGAAAAGTGTTGATGAGAAGTAATAACTTTAGAAAATGTGCATTTTAGACACCTTTGTTTAATTGTTAATGCTATTTTAAACACAAAACTACACACATTTGGTCATCTTGGAGGCAGAATTCCACCTGGTGGAACATGTTGAACTAGCGATTCTTCCTGCTGTTCTCATGCACTTTGCTCTCAACTCTCAAATAATTTAACGGCTGTGTTTCAAGTGCCAACAATCTCCCCACATTTAGCCAGGACGTTTTCAAACCACGGTCTTTTAGGAACACAGTGGTGGTCCTCTGCAGACTGTGTGCCGCGCAGGGTAACGGTAGAGTTGAGATGGAAGTGGCATAGCAGCTAGCTTAACATAGCAGTGCTTTAAGTGGTCCGTTTGCAACTCACCCCCCTTCTGTTTGACACGTGGAGTAATTCCTCTGCACAGTTCTCTGCTGTATGTTGCACTACTGTTTGTTTTACTTCCAACGCAAAAAAGCTCTCTCCATCTTGATTTAACTGACTGCAGCTAGCGGCCATTTCGTAAACCGGAAGTAAACGAACGTTAACTACGTTAAAACTTTTTGTTGCATTAATCTAAACCACATTAATCGCATAGATTAATTAATGTTGACAGCCCTAGTAATAAGCTTGAAATATCCACATCTCCTATTTCTCTTCTTGACTCTCCCTTCATACAGGAAATGAAATGAAAATCTACTAATGGAGAGCTATGATGGAGGCTTCTTTTCTTCAAACATGTTCAATTATCAAACGTAATTGGCCTGCATTTCATTGATTTTTCCAATATTAGTGCATTAGAAGTGAGGCGGTATACCTCACATCTAGTGAGTGGCCCAGTCCATTTTTCTGTATGTGGCTCTCGGGAAAAAAGTTTGGACACCCCTGAATTAGAGGGTAAAGTGCGCCACCAAGTGGTGGCATGGTACGATTCCTCGCAGGAAAAATAAGAAGTGTATTAAAGAGGTGTCTTTGATTTTGGGTACACCTTGGATTGGTCGCCAGCCAATCGCAGGGCTAACACAGAGACATACAACCATTCACACTCACATTCACACCTACCGGGAAATTAGAGTCTGCAATCAACCTGATCCCCAGGGCCCGGTTTTTCAAAAGGTTTAATCCGGAAAAAAATTGATCCGGATTTAGTAATCCTTTTTTTTGCGATCTGTGATCATGTAATCCATCTTACTTTTGAGCCAGTTTTTCAAAGCAACATCGGATTGGATTAATCTGATCCGGATAGGACCATTTCAGGATCACCAAATCTGGATAACCAGTGCTCAAACAGGATAGGAAATCACAATGTAGAACTATAGATATGTAAAGAGCAACAAGTAGAATAGCCAGTGTGGGGTCAATATAAGTTTATTTTTATTTGAAATAAAAACACACACATTTAAAAAAAACTAGAAACAAGAAAAAACCCACTCCACCCTCTTCCAGCAGTCACACAAACATTGTACAAACACTGTACATTGAGGATATTTATAACATAAGTTTCAAATATAGATGTATTGAATTAAAAAAAAAGACTTAATGTCAAATACTCCACAATAATTTCAGACTTCCTCATCTGATGTGGAGAGACCAGCTTGTCTGAGTGTAGCCTTTAGGAGGCGGATCTCTAGTCTGGCCTTGGCTTGCTGCAGTTTGGTCAGAGTCAGTTGTTCCTCTGCCAGACGAAGCTGTGCTTCTGCCCTTTCAGTCTCTTTTTGCAGAAGTGCCTTGTAATCATCATCTTTGTTAGATGAAGGGCGCTTCAAGCCTTTACTCTGAGATCCTGTAGCAACTACCACTGGCTCAACCAATGAGGATCCAGCTTCTTCCTCAGGAACAGAGCTGAGATTCAATATAAATACGCTCTCTGGATCAGCCTCAGGAGGAACTGGCAGATTCTCCTCCTCCTCCTCAATCCAAGGCTCGCCATCCCCTACAACACCTTGAATACCATGGAGAGCTTGCGACTTCTCACCTCCAATGATGTCGAGGACCACATCTGTGTAATCTCCCCTCTTAAATGGCTTGTTGCCTGTGGGTTTTTGATTCAGCATGGTCCTTTGTTGCCCTGGCCTTAAGATTCTTCCACCGCAATTTGATGTGGTCTGTGGTCCTCCTCTGGCCAGACCCTATGGCATTCACATTTTCTGTGATTAAAATCCAAACATCATTTTTCTTTTTGTTGGTATCCTTAGCAGAATTAAAACTTCCCACTATTGTTCCATAATGGCACCGAACATACTCTAGTAGTGCATTGGTTTCAGCAGCAGTGAAGTTACAGCTTCTTGAGTCCATGGTTCCGTTGCTTTACTATAGTGAACATTGTTCATCAATTACAGGCCTTGGGTCCAATTGCCTCAATTGAACACAAGCCAAAACGAATCAGTTGTAATAGGTGTGTTTGAAAAGACCAATTTCACAGCCATATAAATCAGCCTTTCTCAGAGGATTCAAAGAGAGACAGTGAAATGGCAGGTGTTGTCCACCGCCACCACCACTTTGCCAGGAGAGGATACCGTCAAAGGGTGTATATTGAACGTACCAAGCCACTGGAGCAATACACCACTGAGGAGCTGTATGTCCGGTTTTCGCTTTGGGAAGGCTGATATAGAGTACCTTGTGAACCTTCTCAGGCCAAAACTTTAACACAGTACCCAAAGGAGTCATGGTCTGTCTGTGGAAGACCAGATCCTCATTGCTCTCCGATTTTATGCATGTGGGACTTTCTATCAAGTTGTTGGTGACTATATGGGAGTGGTGAAATCAGCTGTGTATGATGTGGTGAGAGATGTGTCAATCGTACTGGCCAGCCTGGTCAATGAATATGTTTCTTTTCCAAAGGACAACCAGATTGCCCAGGCCAAGCGCAGCTTTTTTCTTTTGGGGAATATGCCCAATACTATTGGAGCAATCGACTGCACACACGTGCATATACAAGCACCTCGTGAGAATGAATGGGAGTTTATAAACAGAAAGGGGAGGCACAGCATCAATGTCCAACTTGTGTGTGATGCTGACCTCATCATCATCAACTGCGTTGTCAAGTGGCCTGAGGGAGAGTGCTCTATATAGAGACCTCCAAACCAACCGACCGGATGGCATAATATTAGGAGACAGTGCCTACCCACTCCTACCATGGGTGATGACTCCTTTTCTAACAGCAAATACACCGGCGCAAATACGCTTCAACACTGCTCATTGCAGAGCAAGTGGGCAATTGAACGTTTAAATGGAGTTCTTAAGAGGCGCTTTGCATGCCTTAACTACCTGAGAGCAGAACCACAGAAAGCATTGCCATTCTTTGCATTTTTTTGGTTATTCTGTAATCATTGCATGCATCACCAATAAATATTCTGAAAACAAAAATATTTTCGATTGTGATGATATATCAGTTAGTGACAGAATAAAATGTATTGTTTTTGGTCAATTTTGACAGCTATTTGGGGGATTATTTTATGAGGCCAAACTCTTTCTACTTTGCTGTAGGCCTATACTGAAAGGCTGAATACGTTAAAGCCTACCTAATCACTGTAGCCTGACGGATGAACAAATAAAATTAAGACCTTATGAATAAATAGGATATCTATTAAGATACTACCGGCACATTAAGAGCAATGCGTCCAGCTCTCAGACCGGTCCGTATTTGTAAAATACCGGAAAAAAAATCTGAATCTGTGAATATCTTGCCAACTTTCAATACTGATCGACTTTTTGAAAAAAATAAATAATGAGGTTGTAGTGAATGTGATATGTGATATACAAGATATGCGCAGGCTCCTCCATACTTACATACCGGTAAAGTTGGCAAGATATTCAGATTCAGACTGACAGACCGGTCTGCGAGCTGGACGCGTTGGTCTTAATGTGCCGGTAATGATGGTAAATGATGGTTGTAGCTGGTTGTCATCTACGGTCCACTACGATTACCGAAGGGGGGCATTTGTTTTTTGACAACGTTTTATCTCATAATTTTGACTTTCTATCCCCTTACATTAGTGCGGAAATGGGCTTCTATAGTTGTGTGAATGCATCACTCCAGCCAATCCAAAGACAGGGTTTGTAACCAATCTGGTGTAGACACCATAGTGACTGGCCCCGCCCCCTTACTGTCAAAAAGAAAAACAGCGGGCGCGTAGAAAACACCTTCGAGCGCGAGCAGAGACTAACCTCGCGAGCGAGGAAGTTCACTTTTCGCGAGGGAGCAAATATCTCGCGCGAGACGGACTTTTGCTCACGCGAGACGGAGATTTGCTCGTGTTTGATTTACGCACGCTCATCAACCTGATTTGCGCCCTCTAATTTTGACAGTGATTTGCCGCCATACCCGGAGCATGTCTTTGGACTGTGGGTGGAAGCCGGACAACCCGGAGAGAACCCACACAGACACGGGGAGAACATGCACAGAAAGGCTACTGGGCGAACCCAGGACGATTTTACTACCAGTATATCAAAAATATATTTAACATAATTGT